TTTTTAGTTGAAACAGATAAACTATGGGTAAGGATGTAACTGGGCTCTTAAAAACAATGTGGTTTTGAATGAGATATTTTATCAAACTTTCTCAAATTAATTCATTAAGGTCAAGCAACTGCCTATCCTCTCCTATAAGGGATGTTTATTTCAAAATATTTTACAGTCATGTCTGAATAAGGCATAAAAATGTCTGGAAATTTTAAATATAATCAGGTCTTGTAATATTCCTCGTTTCACATCCCTAAAACTTGAAATTTTGGAATAAAAATATTCGAACTATACCTTATAATATCACAGATGTTCCATGTTAATCCATTTACACAATGATATAAGGTGGCTGATAAACTGACACCCTACCCTAGCTGCTAAATAGATATTTAAAATATAAGCACGTCTATCTAACTAGTCGTATATTGTCGTCTGCTAGGTAAAATAACAAAAGGCCATCAGAGGAGAGAAGTCGACCACCTGACACCCCGAATATAGCAAATACTCTCAGTTTATTGGTTCACTTAATTATAGGATTTATGAATGAATTTAGGGCAATTTTTATTGGTGGTAATTTACTAGTATACTTATAGTAAAGTAAAGTAAAGTAAAGTAAATGAATGAATGAATGAATGAATGAATGAATGAATGAACGGATGAATGAATGGATGAATGAATGAATGAATGAATGAATGAATGAATGAACGGATGAATGAATGGATGAATGAATGAATGAATGAATGAATGAATGAATGAATGAATGAATGAATGAATGAATGAATGAATGAATGAATGAATGAATGAACGGACGGACGGACGGACGGATGGATGGATGGATGGAGGGAGGTGATGGAGGGATGGAATTAAATAAATTTTCCACCTCCCATGGAATTCAAAGTAAATACCACTTAAATTTCAGAATGTACAATTTTACCTTAAATTTTTCCACCCAAACAAAAGGAAAGTTTAAAAGATAGAATATAAAGTACAATACAATGAAATGTAATGTGTAAAAACACGATATTTTATTTGAATTGTAGACAGGTATATATTGTTAAATACACGATGTGAAATGTTTTACACATTAATTACCCCACTTAGTTTACTAGTTTCCCCTTAACGACATCTCAACTTTAATATTTACGTTTTAACTTCAGGCTATAATAGTCTACCTATTTTGACAAATGCTTAAAATTCAACAATTCAAGATCTATGAGTTATAGTTTATTCAATTTTTAACATAATAAATAATTTCAAATGATAACCCTCTTTTTGGCCCTAGTGATCTTGAATATTCAAAATGCATTAGGTTCTTCAGTTTTCAACCAATTTTCATATATTTCAAATGTAGATATATGACAATCAAAAATGAAAAAACAAGCAAGTTTCTTGCTTTAAAGGTCTACCAACTGCATCCTGAAGTGGGCATATTTGAAGCCCATTCTGAGACACAATCAGTTTTGGTCACGAAATTTTTAAGGATTATTTATCTCCCCTTTCACTCCATTTCTCTTATACATCCATTTAACCTTTTTTTTTCTTTTTCTCAAATCATACAACAGTAGAAACATATCATTTTAAAGGTCTACTACCTCTTATGATGACCAACAAAATTAAAATTATTAAACTTGGTTAAAATGACTGTTTGTTCATCAGTGGACTTACCTGGTGTCACAATAATACAACAGTGATTTTCAATAATAACTTAGATTAATAGTTATATATTGTGTTATATAGAGATTGTATTCTTTAGTCATGGTACCTGGTAAGTCCAACAGATGAATGTATACTCTCTTATTGACTAAGTTTGAAATTTTATGTCTAAGAGCTAGTATTCTTTTTAATAAAAAAAACTATTTAAAGAGCAGGGTATGGGCAGGGTAGGGGGCAGATCTCAATCAACAAAGACTCATATATAAAATTCAATACAGCATCTCAGGGCATTCCTTATGTTTCATTTTATATATCAGTCACAATATATACATTATCATAACAATAGTAACACAGGTGGAGGGGGGTAGGGGATAACAATAACACAGGTAGAGGGGGGTAGGGACAACAATAACACAGGTGGAGGGGGGTAGACGAAGCAATATTTGATCCCCACTGGATACCAATATCTACTACGCATCACATATTATGTTAGATTTATCATTTTTTAATTTGTTTTTTTATTCCTCATTTTGAGTTTTGACCAAACAAAACATTTCTTAGCTGTTTTTGCCTAACTGTAGAATATTTGCCATGGAGTTTTACATCCTAGATTTCTGCTACTCTAGGACTAATGAAGAAGAAAAGCCATTCAGTGTGCAATGAAGAAACAGTTTTCAGGACATTGGTGCACATCTCATCTAAAAGTTTAGTTGCAAAAATTGGAAGCAATACTCTAGATGCTGTGAGAGGTCTTGTTAAATTTCCAAGCCAGTAACACATAAAAAAGTTAACTAGAGAAAAGTTTAAAAAAAATAACCTAGACTTAAGAGGTCTTGTTAAATTGCACTGAGAGTTACACACATCAAAAGTGGTGTGTTAATGGTAAAAATTTTAAGAGAGAATGGGATCTTGTTGAGTTGTACAACTCTAACACTTAGCTTTCCCGCCCCCCCCCCCCTCCCCTTTCTTTAGGATGAAGTTGTCCCCACCCAGCTCTTTCATTTATTAATAAAGTTCAAGGTTATACTATGTCCAGTTGTCCATACAGATGTTTGTTGATTGACTATCAAATATCTAATAAGATAAACCATTCTGATATTCAACCTTCTGTTTACCATCTATTTCTATAGTATATTGGATATCTTTCTTAAAGGTATTGTCCCAAACAGTTCTTTACTTTCATCCCAAAGTAAAGTGTTAACAATATATTTGCTTTGACATATCTCAAAATAATTTCAAAGAGTTCAAATTATGTATTAAAGATATAAATGGTCAACTTAATGATAGCTAATGCTTGTCATTAACCAAACTAACTGGTAATGCGATATTGTTTGAATAATCTTCTGCAAAAGTAATATATTAGAAGGGGTCAGGGTGTATGGTGTTTAATTGCAGTAATGGAATTAGTCAGTTGTCACAATTTTTTTCAGAGGGGCAACCCATTTTTCAGAGGGGCATTGCCTCGCACCCACCCCCATGAGCTATGGGCAGGTATAGGACTATCCCTTTACAACCCACAGTCTAAAATATCTGTGTGTATTTAACAGTGATATTCTAATAGGTGATATCTATACTGTAATACATGAAGGGTGTTCTATAATAGTCCTGTAATTAATTCTATCATCATATCTATTGGTTATATATCTCTAATCTCATTTAATCTTACAGATTTATCTACAGGCTCAATTACCTTCAGTTTACCTTTCTCATTTTCACATTGTCAAGCTATAACAAACTGTGACTAATACCTTGACTGTAATAGCTATTATTTTTGTATTACCATATGCAGCTATTTGATCAGATTGTACGGTAGACAATTAGTCCAATAAGAGACCTTGACAGAAAGGCTATTAACAATATGGCTTTGTAGTCACTGGTCTTTGGTTGAGGCCTCTGATTGGCTGTATTCACTAGCATGTAATCTAATCAAATTGCTGTATTCCCTGATACAAGACTAGCAGCTATCACAGTCAAGGTATGAAAAAAAGTGTGTAATAACATGACATCTGGGCTAGTGGATGTCAATATGATCTTCCACAGAGCTCAGAAAATTTGGGTAAAAATATTCACAACATCCAAAGATACAAATATGATTTGGGCAGCAATAGAATAATTTAAAGCAAGACATTGTTATTTCCTAGTTTCCATTAAATAAAGTATAGATTTTAAACTTGGAAAGATTTTGAAAATCAGTAACTGAGTTAGCACTAGATAAAGATGAAGTGTATAAGGAGTAGTATATCATAAAATTCTGTTCCGTTTTTTAATGTAAACTCTTCCCCTAAATATCGCTTAAAGATAAGAATATAGCCAATTTTTTACTCAAATCTACAACTCTCCTATATAATTATCTTACTATTAGTCAACAAAACATAGATTAGACTTTATTGTCCAGGCTCAATTCTTTACGATTGTAGGCTATTCTTTAGTTGACAGGACAAGGGCAATCTTCAATTGTTCGCTCCTCCAGAGGGCAGACCAAGTAGACATTGTTATAACAACAGAATAATGCTTACGAGGTCATTGCGTTTGAACTTCTTGTGAAGCGTATAATGGTGTATTATGATTGGTTATTATTCTGTACTCACTACTAATCAAATTTGACATAAATAACTCCATAATTATTTTAGTATAATGTACTTGATGGTAGTCTTTTTTTTTTAAAATGAAGTAACGTATTCAGAATGACAAGTTCTATTTCATGATATCCTCAAATTCTAATGAGAGAAAATGAGGTCTAAACACATATACGGCAAAACCCAGGAGGAAGTTTTCAAACAAAATCACAAACAATCTAATTTCTTTTCCGTATAAAATATTAACTTCAAATTCGACTATACTGATTCCGTAATAATTTCAGTGTATGTACTTAATGATATTTCAAGTTTTTATTTTGTAGTGAAGTAACCTTTTCAGAGTCACATATATCATCTATTAAAATTCTTTTTCATGAAATTACAAATTTAATGAGGAAATTGATATTTATACACAATACAGGGGAACACAGGTGGAGTTTTCAAACAAAATCACAAACAATCCAATTTCATTTCTGTATAAAATATTAATATCAGACTTAAAATAATTGTAGGTCATATTTAATGTTAATCATATTCTTAAGATTCCAAAAATTGCATGAAGACATTGTTGATCATCTATGCCTTTGAAATATTTAATAGTTTTGCTTTCCTGAGTAGATTAGATTCAAATACATTGGTAATATGATACAATAAATCCAGTTCTTTCTAGACTAAAAGCATCACATACCTAATATTTCTAGATTTTGCAAAACATTCTCAAAAAAATATATTTTAATTTGATAATTTTGTCTAATTGTAGGAAAAACTGAATTTTTTGGACTAAAAAATTCGGTTGGTTATATTAAACCCTGTTTTAATATTTCTGTACATACCTGTATATAACAGACTAAAAATCTTTAAATCTTCTATCAAAAGCATTGAATTTACTTACAGACGGGACTCAGAATGCAGTAGAGCATATTTTATTCAGGAGAGGGGCCCTCTCATCCCACTTAGTCTAAGGGCCAATCACTGCTAGACCCAAGTTTCTATGTCAGTACCTCTGGCCTACATTATTGACAGGTGGAAACAGGGTTGAAATATCCGAAGGTTTATCTCAACCCTAACAATGTTATAAATATCCACAACTTACCTAGTTCTGATCGACGTCGAATCTGTCTGATACAATTTCTTATTTTACGTTTTTCATCAACATCACCCGTATCTTTCAACTAAAAAATAAAAATACAATATCAAAATTAGATAATATACTGTTTAATATGTGATATTACCATTTTATAATATGGTGTCTGTTTTATCCCCAGTCCTTATTTCTAAAAGATGCGCATGGTAGGCCTGTACCCAGACTTGTTTGTCACAAGGAAAGTAATATATCCGGAGGGGCGATGGTTTATGGTGTTTAGTTTGGGAGGGGTGGGGAAGCATTGCCCTCCCTTTCCCCTCTGTAACTATTATTTACAGTGACAAAATACTTTTACATTTACTGAGGCAACTGCAATATATATTTACATTTTCATATGAGTGTATTAACATTTAAATGCATTGAAAGATATCATAAAACAAACTATCACACTTCTAAGTCATTTGAATAATTTGTAGAACATGAAAGCATCACATTAATCTAATATAAACAATTGTTGTGTGGTCTATATATTATATTACACCTAACATGTAACACTGATATCTTCTAATGGTAGAGTTATTTATATCTTATACAATTTTTTATTTAAATCAGACATTTTCCAAAAAGTAATATAAAGTGCATATAATAAAACAAAGTTGTTTCCTTTGATGATATAAATGATTTTTACGATGTTAACAGATATTAATCATTTCGATGCTGGTTTTCCCCTTTAACCAGATTAAGAAAACCAATGTGAATCTCTCCAAATCTGCTTTTGGATATTATAATCAGATTTTGTGAAGAAACAAAAGGCTTGGTTTTTTTTGTGAAATTGCAAGAACCAGAGAAGCCTGACTGAAAATTGGAATGGTGCAAATCAATGCTATCAGTGTTCCTGATACACATAAAAAGTTTAATATATTTTTGAATGGCAAATCATTAAATATGTGAAAATTTGATATCAAATAGAACATATTTTAAAAAGCTACATCAAAGAAAATATGATCTTATGAAATAGATTTCTCCGAACATCAAAATGTTTCAGAAAATGTCAAAAAAGTTGAAATGAAATGAATGGAGTTTTACGCCTATTTTTCTGCATCTTGTGGACCAATGAAGATGGGCATTTTGCCAAGGCAGCGGTGTTAGCCTGCTCTTTTTGTTTTTTGAGGGATCTTTACACAGCCTGCAGCACATATGACCTTGGGTTTATTGTCCCATCTTAACGACTAGATGCTTTTCCCATTTCAATCCCTCAGTCCTGCATCAATGACAGGGGGAAACCGGGTTGAATAATCTGAAGGTTTAATCTCAAACTATAAAAAATATCAAAGACAATGTAAATATAAAACATTAAAAATTTCATTTATTAGGATATTTATCAAAGACAAACTGAAAATGTAAATATTTCAATTCATCAAAGATTATCAGTATTTACCACTATACATGTATCACTAAGTATTTATTTTTATAAGACTTCAAAGTGCAATGTTTTTATATTGAACAATGTTAATATACACACCTAGATTTGCTTAAATTCTATCTCCAAAATTAAATCAAAATATCAAAATTCAATTTCATGAAATTTCTTTCATTTTCCTTATTGAAATAGTGGATAGCATGGTCACAATGTCACTAAAGATACCACCAGTAAGCCAACCTATAGGTTTTAAAGGATGGTAATAAAATTACATAAATATATGTCGATGAATATAAAAAGTCAAAAAGAATTCCAGATCAAAGTTAAAGACACATAAAAGCAAATCATATTCTTGAAAAATAACATGTTCTGTGTTGACAAATCACATTATTGTATTCAATATTTTCTATTCAATATATTTGTTTCCTGTAGGATGCTTTATAGTTTTAACTCCAACCCGCTATTGAGAACTTTCTTGAATTTTGACAGTGACCTATTGAAGTTTTTAATTTGTGACCTAATAGTTCCCCTATATTGAGTTTCATGTTCGTGACCTAATAGTCTCCCCATATTGAGTTTTATGTTTGTGACATAATAGTCTCCCCATATTGAGTTTTATGTTTGTGACCTAATAGTCTCCCCATATTGAGTTTTATGTTTGTGACCTAATAGTCTCCCCATAATGAGTTTTATGTTTGTGACATAATAGTCTCCCCATATTGAGTTTTTGTTCGTGACCTAATAGTCTCCCAATAATGAGTTTTATGTTCGTGACCTAATAGTCTCCCCATATTGAGTTTTATGTTTGTGACATAATAGTCTCCCCATATTGAGTTTTATGTTTGTGACCTTAACAGTGTCTCCCCATATTGAGTTTCATGTTTGTGACCTAATAGTCTCCCCATATTGAGTTTTATGTTTGTGACCTTAACAGTGTCTCCCCATATTGAGTTTTTGTTCGTGACCTAATAGTCTCCCAATAATGAGTTTTATGTTCGTGACCTAATAGTCTCCCTATATTGAGTTTTATGTTTGTGACATAATAGTCTCCCCATATTGAGTTTTATGTTTGTGACCTAAGAGTCTCCACATATTGAGTTTTATGTTTGTGACATAATAGTCTCCCCATATTGAGTTTTATGTTTGTGACATAATAGTCTCCCCATATTGAGTTTTATGTTTGTGACCTTAACAGTGTCTCCCCATATTGAGTTTCATGTTTGTGACCTAATAGTCTCCCCATATTGAGTTTTATGTTTGTGACCTTAACAGTGTCTCCCCATATTGAGTTTCATGTTTGTGACCTAATAGTCTCCCCATATTGAGTTTTATGTTTGTGACATAATAGTCTCCCCATATTGAGTTTTATGTTTGTGACATAATAGTCTCCCCATATTGAGTTTTATGTTTGTGACATAATAGTCTCCCCATATTGAGTTTTATGTTTGTGACATAATAGTCTCCCCATATTGAGTTTTATGTTGTGACCTAATAGTCTCCCCATATTGAGTTTTATGTTTGTGACATAATAGTCTCCCCATATTGAGTTTTATGTTTGTGACCTTAACAGTGTCTCCCCATATTGGGTTTTATGTTCGTGACCTAATAGTCTCCCAATAATGAGTTTTATGTTTGTGACCTAATAGTCTCCCCATATTGGGTTTTATGTTCGTGACCTAATAATCTCCCCATATAGAGTTTTATGTTCGTGACTTAATAGTTTCCCCCTATTGAGTTTTATGTTTGTGACCTAATAGTTTCCCCATATTGAGTTTCATGTTTGTGACCTACTAGTTTCCCCCTATTGAATTTTATGTTCGTGACCTTAGCAGTGTCTCGATGTTCACCAATGTACATTGTAAAGAAATAAGCCAATTTACAAAACTAAAAAATATTTTCAAGTCACAGTTTCAAGGCAGATAGTCTACACTCAAAATTTTACGTTCCTCATTGTTAAAATTGCAAATAATATCTTCAATTTTCGACAAGGCTGTAAATCTAAATGGATACTTGGAAAAGATCAATTGTAAGAGGTTTGACCGAGGAAAAGTTAGTAGAATGGATCCTCGTGAACTAGTTGTTGTACTTCTTAAAAATAGTTTTCTTTCTAAAAATGTTTTTGAAAAATTACATGAATTGTGGCCTTCATATTTGATATTTCATGTTTGTGTCCTTACCAAAAGGTTTGACCAAGAACCAGCTGGTAGAACGGATCATCGCAAAACTAAGTTGTTATACTTGCAAAAAATGGTTGTTTCTCTCTATTAATTTTTTAAAATTATATAAAATGTTGCCCTTAAGTTTAATATGTAATGTTTGTTCCCTAAACAGTCTCTCCTTGTGACTATTGTATAGTTGATACCTCTCAAGATAAAACTAAATAAACCAACAGTGTAGGTCAATAGAAAGTAATATTTTCTATATTTTAAAGTTGAATACAGCTAGGTGTTATGTAAATACTGACTGATATCTAAATAAACACAAACCTAACCATGGTCCTTCATTCTAACACTTATCTTTATCAACCATTACAAAATCAGTAATTAAATAGATTTTTGTAAAGAGTAAAAATGAAATGAAATGAATGGAGTTTTACGTCCTACTTTTCTGCATAATGTGGGCTAATGAAGACGGGCAAAGCCATGCAGGGTACAATGAGGGAAATTTTGCCAGGACAGCGTCATTAGCCCGCTCTTTTTCGAATTCCAACTGTCGAGGGATCTTTAGATCTTTAAAGTGCACAGCCTGTAGCACACGGGGCCTCGGTTTATTGTTTTGTAAAGAGTAAAAATCATGTCTAGAATTACAACAGAGTTTGTCATAAATGTGACAGGCTTCATCAAAAGATGCCAAAAATTGTTCTTAAGAGATTACAAATACCAAAATCAAGATTAAGTTGAAATATGATTCAAACAATTTTTATTTAAATTGTATATTACTTATGAAGGGCGTACACCTCTGGGACACCCCTCATACCAGCTCTGTTCAGACGTGACTGGTATATAAAATATAATACATGAGCTACTGGACTAACAAAGATGCTATCCCTGCTGGCCATTGAAGACCAAAACTAGCAGTAGAGAAAATATTAATGATACCTTATAACAGCGCTTTTCCTGCAATTTTTGCAATCGTTACAAAAACACATATTGATTGGTAGGATTACAGATCCTCCCCCACCTCTAACCCCCCCCCTCCCCCCCTCGTCCTATGTCTATGCTGCTGTAATCATGATATATATTTATGAAATTTACTAAAAGAAAATTCTTACCAATTGTTTAAGTTGTTCTTCATCCTCTATCTTATCATAATCTACACAAGTTAACTGCCCTTGTTTTTCTTCCACAGGATTTACAGGAGGCTCCTCTACACTTCTACCTACAATCATAAAAATAATTTTCATGAGATACACATTAGGATTCTTCAGCATTGAAACTTTTACTCCAAAGTTACAGAGTTAGTCAATATAAAAATTCTCTTAACTGAATAGCAGGCTTCAAACTAGAAAAAAGTCTACCAAGCTAAATATTTAGAACAAGTAATGGGTATGAATTACCCACAAAAGACCAATGCCAAGAGGTTTGGCCAAGGACCAGCTGGTAGAAAGGATCTTAGTAAACTTTAGCAGTTATCCTTGGGCTTAAATGACTAGCTATGATGTTTTCTTTTTGACGAAAAATAGAAGAAACTAATCTAAAGGATATATTTTCACTATTCAAAGTTAAAATATGCAACTTCGTTCAAAAAGTCTATATTCCAATCATTATAAGTATTTTTTGGATTTTTGCCCAAGAATTCAGAACCCAATGTCTCACAGACTAGACCTAACATCATAATTTCATGTCAGTATTCAAATATCAGAAAATATAAAATCGACAAAAAACTGAAGTTCAAGTTACAATGTAATGTCGTGCCTTTTTATATCTAACATACCATTATTAAAATCTTTTAATGTATTTAGTCTTCAATTTCACAGACGATCGTGCCATTTTCTACTTTTAATCCCTCAAAACGACCTCTACTTTAATTCAATTAAGGAACTATTGATAACTCATACAAGGATTAACCTTTCATTTTTTCTTTTGAAGGATCCATTTCTTATCAAACTAACGTACGAGTGGGGAATAATGAGGAAAATAGAAGAAAAGTTGATATAAGATCAGATATCAGGCGAGGTTTACCCCTCACTGTGAGTCAACATCAGGTAATTATACTATCAGCCCCCACAAATAAACCCCTTTCATTTCTAAATATATCAAAGCTTATTCTTATTCTGGTGAAAAGGTGAAATGGTGAGCATTCCCCATCAAAATAAGATAGTAAAGAGGGGCATTGTATTACTTTCTACACTCTCCCCTTTCTTTAGAACTACTGAAACCAGACAGTAAGGTTCTAATGTCCAAAATATTCACTTGGTAACAGATGTTTGGGCATAATATGTAATCATGTAATCATATGGCTGGTAAAGCACCTGTTAGTATTAAAAGGGCTAAGTTTTTGACATTATGGCCTCCGCATGTTGGAAGTCTTTCGGATCCAATTGTAAATCATTATTTTATCAACTCACCAAATTTAAGAATAAAAATCCTGCGAGATTCTGTGTACTCTTTGATTTTCAGAGCAATCATAATTCCTGATAATGGGGTACGATGTAGCACAATGTTAAAACAGATCTTAATTCTTATAGGTTATCTAAAAATTAAACGCCCATCAACAGTCATACTCTAAAACATTCCAAATATCTGAAATAACCTCAGATATAACATAAAAGTCAAATTAAAATAAATACTATCATCCAGTTATTTTACACAAATTATTCCAAAATATCTCAAAATAACCTCAGTTATAACATAAAACTCCAATAAATTCTGATAATACAACACAAGGTGAGACAATATGGTACAATATGCGACAATGTTTGATCAGTTCCAAGATAAAATACTATCTGTCAACACTGTATTGACAATATCTGTCAGGTAACTCTGGTACTAGTTAAACTATATCTATATGTTCAGATCAAACAGACCAATTATCCCAATTAAGGAAGTAAGGACAAAGCAATCTGATTTCAGAGCCAGTGCATCAATTCAGTTTAGTGTTGGCATAAAATCCCTAGTATAAATTAAGGCTCTAGTGTTGAATATTAGCAGTACTTATTTGGCAGATTCAATGGCATATCTCGAAATCAGTTTGAAATCAGTTTTGAAATCAGTTTTGAAATAAGTTATGAAATCAGTTTTGAAATCAGTTTTGAAATCAGTTATGAAATCAGTCTACATCTAGGACTAAAAGTTAGCATCTAAAAACCAGTAACATGATTTTTTCATTAGTTGATACTTTCATTAACCTACAGACAATCCAAGACTCTCAGTAGTATTTTACAATTCATATTTTAATTCATACAAACATAGTACGCAAAATACGAGAGCCCATTTTTAAGACTGAAAATTCTCCTTAGTAAAATCATATTTCTAAACAATATAAACTCTCAATACTATTCTGATGCTGATATTCAATTTATATAAACATAGTAAGCAAAATGAGAATCTGTAAACATTGTGGTTGGACAATACAAGAGAATTACAAAGAAAATGTACAATATGACCAGATCAATACCAGAAAGATAAGGAAACTGGAATCCTGTCTCAAGATGACAAAGAAGATTATTCTGATTGACAGGTATCATGGTATTAATTGATATTTTAATTGATTTGTTATTAACGAAGTGTGTTATAACATAAACTATACTTGGTGTTTTTTGTTATATCTACTCTACTTCTTAATATGGTTTATATCTTATTAATTGATAGATTAACCTGTGATTTTTATCACTAGAGAGCCTTTCATTCTCACAGTATGATATTGATATATGAAATATTTCCAGACTTTTATTACAGTATATCAGTATATTCCAGAAACAATATGATTCAGAATTGGAGCAGAATGAAATGGGTTAACTTCCTACTTTTCTTCTCCTTTTGTACACTTTATACAGATACAACATGCAGTAAGCAATAAGAGAAAATTTGCTAGAAGAGCATCAATAGCTTTCTTGATATCCCACACTGTAACACACAGGGACTTAGTTTATTGTCTCATCTGAATGACAAGGTCCTTTTTTTTATTTGCCTGTCTTACTGGATTTTATTACGGACCTTTAAGTTAGTGGGCACTGAGCCACCTGGGATTTCTGACGAAATAGCTACCAGTCTTGTTGCCTAAAATAGTAACAGCTATCAAGGTCACCTAGAAACATATTCGACCTTGAAAAACATTGTTACAAACAGTGAACTAGAAACACTACATAGTTGCCATTTAAAATAAAACCTAACCTTCAAACTTATTGTCAACCTTTAGCACCCTTTTTTGTTCAACATTTTCCAAAACAAAGGCATTAAAAAGAATTTGACCTAGTTTTTGAAGGTCAAACATGTTGACCTAGAAAGAATAATGGCCAGAGTTAGTTTGGTATTTCCTTTCATCTTTCTAACATTTTTAACAATTATCTTGAAATAGTATTATTAGGGTGGGGACCACAGAAATATGAAACAATGTACCAGAATTAAGTCAGTTTTGTAGTGTCAAGTGTTGTTTTAGACGGAGAAAATTGCTAAATTTCAAGTCAAAATAAAAGTTGAAACCAATGTGTTTTTCAGGAATTGGTGGAAAAAACACTAGCAAAACACTTGGATTTCTCACCCATCACAAACATGAAAGGTCTGTTTTCAAATCAAATTTTCTCTGTGCCTTAGAAATTTTGGGTTTCTAAACCCGGGAATGATACTAGGGCAAAGATTTTGACCCATCAAAACTTACTAAAACATATTAACCTTAACATTCATGAATATTGCTTTAACCATGTACCAGTGCCAATGCCTTCTGTTGGATAGTAACTAGTTACCTTTCAACCACCCTAATCTCTATAGCAATGTCATTTTACCTGACCAGATCTGAATATTTTTCAACTACTAAAACATCAGTACAGAATCATCCGATTCAACCAATCCAATTTCTATTACTACAACTACCAACAACTACCTTGTCTGTGATATCAGTTAGCTGAAAGCAGGTGTCAACTTGTCATCTACCAACAAATACCTAGTCTATGATATCAGTTAGCTAAAAGCAGATGTTGACTTGTCATCTACCAACAACTACCTAGTCTGTGATATCAGTTAGCTGAAAGCAGATGTTAACTGTCATCTACCAACAACTACCTAGTCTGTGATATCAGTTAGCTGGAAGCAGACGTTAACTTGTCATCTATCAACAACTACCTAGTCTGTGATATCAGTTAACTGGAAGTGCACGTTAACTTGTTATCTACTGACAACTACCTAGTCTGTGATATCAGTTAACTGGAAGCAGACGTTAACTTGTTATCTATTAACAACTACCTAGTCTGTGATATCAGTTAACTGGAAGTGCACGTTAACTTGTTATCTACCGACAACTACCTAGTCTGTGATATCAGTTAACTGGAAGCAGACGTTAACTTGTTATCTATTAACAACTACCTAGTCTGTGATATCAGTTAGCTTGAAGCGGACGTTAACTTGTCATCTACCAACAACTACCTAGTCTGTGATATCAGTTAACTGGAAGCAGACGTTAACTTGTTATCTATTAACAACTACCTAGTCTGTGATATCAGTTAACTGGAAGCAGACGTTAACTTGTTATCTATTAACAACTACCTAGTCTGTGATATCAGTTAGCTGGAAGCAGACGTTAACTTGTCATCTATCAACAACTACCTAGTCTGTGATATCAGTTAACTGGAAGTGCACGTTAACTTGTTATCTACTAACAACTACCTAGTCTGTGATATCAGTTAGCTGGAAGTGCACGTTAACTTATTATCTATTAACAACTACCTAGTCTGTAATATCAGTTAGCTGGAAGCGGACGTTAACTTGTCATCTACTAACAACTACCTAGTCTGTGATATCAGTTTACTGGAAGTGCACGTTAACTTGTCATCTACCAACAACTTCCTAGTCTGTGATATCAGTTAACTGGAAGTGCACGTTAACTTGTTATCTACTAACAACTACCTAGTCTGTGATATCAGTTAGCTGGAAGCAGACGTTAACTTGTTATCTATTAACAACTACCTAGTCTGTGATATCAGTTAACTTGTTATCTACTAACAACTACCTAGTCTGTGATATCAGTTAGCTGGAAGTGCAGGTTAACTTGTTATCTACTAACAACTACCTAGTCTGTGATATCAGTTTACTGGAAGTGCACGTTAACTTGTCATCTACCAACAACTACCTAGTCTGTGATATCAGTTAGCTGGAAGTGAACGTTAACTTGTTATCTCCTTACAACTACCTAGTCTGTGATATCAGTTTACTGGAAGTGCACGTTAACTTGTTATCTACTAACAACTACCTAGTCTGTGATATCAGTTAACTGGAAGTGCACGTTAACTTGTCAACTACCAACAACTACCTAGTCTGTGATATCAGTTAGCTGGAAGTGAACGTTAACTTGTTATCTATTAACAACTACCTAGTCTGTGATATCAGTTAACTGGAAGTGCACGTTAACTTGTTATCTACTAACAACTACCTAGTCTGTGATATCAGTTTACTGGAAGTGCACGTTAACTTGTCATCTACCAACAACTACCTAGTCTGTGATATCAGTTAGCTGGAAGTGAACGTTAACTTGTTATCTCCTTACAACTACCTAGTCTGTGATATCAGTTTACTGGAAGTGCACGTTAACTTGTTATCTACTAACAACTACCTAGTCTGTGATATCAGTTAACTGGAAGTGCACGTTAACTTGTCAACTACCAACAACTACCTAGTCTGTGATATCAGTTAGCTGGAAGTGAACGTTAACTTGTTATCTATTAACAACTACCTAGTCTGTGATATCAGTTAACTGGAAGTGCACGTTAACTTGTTATCTACCAACAACTACCTAGTCTGTGATATCAGTTAGCTGGAAGCGGACGTTAACTTGTCATCTACCAATAACTACCTAGTCTGTGATATCAGTTAACTGGAAGCGGACGTTAACTTGTCATCTACCAACAACTACCTAGTCTGTGATATCAGTTAACTGGAAGTGCACGTTAACTTGTCATCTACCAACAACTACCTAGTCTGTGATATCAGTTAACTGGAAGTGCACGTTAACTTGTCATCTACCAACAACTACCTAGTCTGTGATATCAGTTAACTGGAAGTGCACGTTAACTTGTCATCTACCAACAACTACCTAGTCTATGATATCAGTTAACTGGAAGCAGACGTTAACTTGTCATCTACTAACAACTACCTAGTCTGTGATATCAGTTAACTGGAAGTGCACGTTGACTTGTCATCTACCAACGACTACCTAGTCTGTGATATCAGTTAGCTGAAAGTAGACGTTAACTTGACATCTATCAACAACTACCTAGTCTGTGATATCAGTTAACTGGAAGTGCACGTTAACTTGTCATCTACCAACAACTACCTAGTCTATGATATCAGTTAACTGGAAGCAGACGTTAACTTGTCATCTACTAACAACTACCTAGTCTGTGATATCAGTTAACTGGAAGTGCACGTTGACTTGTCATCTACCAACGACTACCTAGTCTGTGATATCAGTTAGCTGAAAGTAGACGTTAACTTGACATCTATCAACAACTACCTAGTCTGTGATATTAGTTAACTGGAAGCAGACGTTAACTTGTCATCTACCAACAACTACCTAGTCTGTGATATCAGTAAACTAGGATCACCAGCCCATCACTAAACCATAGCCAGTAAAATACTGATTTCAAGGTAAAATGATAAACTGGGTCAGTGAGTCAGTATGTCATTTAACATTATTATCTGTTTAACACTTCATCTTTTGTATTTTTTTAATAACTTAATAAATTATAAAGGTTAGAAAAACTTTATCCAGGGAAACTTTATCCAGGACAGCGGCATTAGCCTACTATTTTTCGATTTTCAACTATCAGGGGACCTTCAATTGCAGGACCTGAGCACATACTGGGTTTATTGTCCAATCTGAATGACTAGAGACTTACCTGTAATTTGGCCTTCTCTAATCTCCTTAATTCTGAACCTGATTTTCTTTCTCTCGTTCAAATCACTGATGTCTTGTAACTGAAATAATTCAATATAAAAGACCATTTTACAACAAAATTAAAATTTTTTTACTGTTATAATTAATTAATTACAGAGCTAAGTAGGGACACACGTCTACAATTAATAGTTTGGTTATATATATCAAAAAAAAAGACTGAAACAGAACTTGAATCATGTTGTTACTCAGAGTTTATACGATATGCACTCTTTAGACAACTGACCTATTTACAGCCTGCATCCTAAACAGCTTCATTGAACACATGTGTCTGAGGATGACTGAAGAAACACGTTAAAACGTTTCATAAAACTTTAACCAGTGATTGTTGTTCTATAAAGCTATGTCTATATATTGTACTCACAATTGCTAAATGCCATTTGTAGATGTTACTTTAGTCATCTGAACATCACACGCGTGAAATTCTTAGCATATGAAGCAATAATAAGGTTTTTCACAATAAAAAGGTGCTCCATTCATTAACTGGAGAGGATTCATAAATTTCCAATTACTCATCAGACATTGAGAGCAAGCGTTGAAACCAAACACAGATTGACATAAAACACTTGTGAGTCCGTTATTTCAAAATGTTGACTATCAAGACAAACATAACTATCTTTTATGTTTAAGGCATCACTCACCAAACACATTTACTTCATTAATTATTCGTAATTAAAATCATATTAATCTTGAATAATTTAGAATCATTTTTTACTAATGTTCATATATAGAATATTAAGGCTTCATTTGCATAATATAGTCATCTCATTATCATTCTACATCATATTAATTACCTCTAATTAGGCTACTCATCTAATTAGGGATGCTGATTACACATGGATTTAAACAATATTTATTCATAATATCTAATGTTTAGATAAACTATGGTTTCAGAATCAAACCAAAACTTTTATTAATCCAATATACAATATAGAAATATTAAAACAGAACCTTACACTGTGAAAATATTTTATTAAATAATTAGGTGAAGGGGATGGTTATTAAAGATGAGGGCCTATTTAACTGACTATAATCTTGTAATATTCATATAATTGTCTAAAAGAAGGTTAAAAAAAGGGATTAGTGGTGAACCATTTTAAAAAATGGCATTGTTTTAATGAAGTTTTGAGGAAATCTCTTAAGTGGGATTAAGGCGTATTGACATTAAGGGACAAGTGTGCTGTTTTAGGGGGTTGATTTGAAACTTGAACCAGTCCAATGTGCACAGGGGCAATAGCTGATAGAGACTGATTCTGACAATTTGTTTGAATTTTGCAGGGGCCATGGCAATACAAGTGAGTAAAATTACATATTCATAGATAAATATTGTCCAATCAACATTGGCCCTGGAATCTTTCTAGGAAATCACAACCAATCAAATTAAACCACTCGCTATGACATGTTCGCGAAATGAGTAAGATGTTGGGTAAAGAATTGAAGCTAATAGAAAATCAAACTTTGGAATATTTACAATGGAAAGAATGTATTTGTACATCTTCCAACGAGTGGTGGCAAATTGACTTAGTATTTTGTTTTCTCATTATCATTTCAGTTCTACTTATCTGATTGGTCAGATTTAAATTGCTCAAATCTCATTTCTTCAAACCCATATTAGGCATAATACCCAGTAATAGAAATGGTCTATTATTTTAGTCATCATCTACTTATCAGTGAATTTCTTTCTTTTAGTCCATTAACTGGTTTGTTATACAACAGTACTAGTAATGGGATATTCTTCTTAGTCACCTTTTTCTTATCAGAGAAGTTTGATTTTTTAGTACAACATGATAAAATATACATGGGGTCGTGACCTAACCATTAGTCACTTGTCATATTGGTGCCAAGTTTATTAGCTAATATTATTCTATAACATGATTTTATCATTACCTAGGTTATCTTGACTAGAACAATATATAATATATAATGATATAACTAACACAGGCAGTGGTGGTGCCAATGAGGGTACAAAGGGGGCATTGGTAAAATGTTTTGTACCTCTATTTCAATATCAACAATTTCAAAAAATATAATTTTGAAGGTTTTTTCTTGAAATTTGTGTCAGAAATCACCAAATCAATTTTATTTTTCCAAAATTTTCTTAGGGGATAACTCTCTCAGAAGCTCCATGAGAGACTTATGACCATGGGTTTTTACAGAGGTGTTGTATTTTAAAACTAAACCTCAACAGTTGTCCCACCAGTAAATCAGTCACCCCCATACCCCTCGTCTCGAGAGACTGGTATCACCACTGAGCATAGATTGGAGAACCTTACACAAATATATCAGCCTGATAAGGAATACAGAAAGGATTAAAGATTGAAACAAGCAGATTTCACAAGGAAAACAAGGATCATATCTAACAGCTGGTCCTTGGCAAAACATCTTGGCAATGATTTAAAATGGATAACAACTTGGGTTATCTAAGATCATATCTAACAGCTGGTCCTTGGCAAAACATCTTGGCAATGATTTAAAATGGATAACAACTTGGATTATCTAGGATCATATCTAACAGCTGGTACTTGGCAAAATATCTTGGCAGTGATTTAAAATGGGTAACAACTTGGGTTATCTAGGACCAAATCTAACAGCTGGTCCTTGGCAAAACATCTTGGCAATGATTTAAAATGGATAACAACTTGGGTTATCTAAGATCATATCTAACAGCTGGTCCTTGGCAAAACATCTTGGCAATGATTTTAAATGGATAACAACTTGGGTGATCTAGGATCATATCTAACAGCTGGTCCTTGGCAAAACATCTTGGCAATGATTTTAAATGGATAACAACTTGGGTTATCTAGGACCAAATCTAACAGCTGGTCCTTGGCAAAACATCTTGGCAGTGATTTAAAATGGATAACTACTTGGGTGATCTAGGATCATATCTAACAGCTGGTCCTTGGCAAAACATCTTGGCAGTGATTTGAAATGGATAACAACTTGGGTGATCTAGGATCATATCTAACAGCTGGTCCATGGCAAAACATCTTGGCACTGATTTTAAATGGATAACAACTTGGGTTATCTAGGATCATATCTAACAGCTGGTCCTTGGCAAAATATCTTGGCAATGATTTTACAAGCATAACGATGCTGTCTACCAGCCCCTCCTAGATCAATCCTATTGGCACTGACCTATCCCTGATTATCCCATTTACATCTGGGTCAACTGCAAAGCTGGCTTCCTCAATATCCATTTTCAGCTGGGTTAACCTGAATAATGAGGAAATATGATTATTTCAATGTCACCAAATGTCAAAGCAAGCACACAGACCAAGATCAGAAACTCAAAACAAAAAATGTACCTGCTATCTTAAGTTCATTTAAATATAAACAAACCATCCCAAATTGAAATTGAAACAACTGCACAATCGGCGGTCATTGACAGTTTAAATAACAACTGTAAGTAATGTGAAATAAAGATAGTTTAATTATGCTGTGGATGGTAACAGCTGGTGATTCTATAGATACCATCAGTAAAAACTAACATGCTTTTAATATACAAACAGTGCTACAGGTCACTTAGTACAACAACTCAAATATTATAGTCATATTAAATTCAATAAATATTTGCTGGAAACTCTAAATTGTCTTATTGGAACTATAAAAGAACTCTAAAATGTCTGACTGGAACTCTAAAATGTCTGACTGGATCTATAACATGTCTGACAGGAACTCTTAAGATGTCTAACTGTAACGCTAAACGCTACAGGAACCCTAAATGACCTCTTTAGAGCTCTAAAATGACAGACTTCCTATTTTTAATAGCTCATTGAAATACTCACAAAGTTTGAACAGATCTCTAAAATGTCAAACTTTTAAAATGCCAAACCCTCCCTTCCACAAACTCTAAAATGTCTGACAGGAACTCTAAACTGTCTGACTGGAACTCTTAAAATTGTCTGACAGGAACTCTTAAAATGTTTGACAGGAACTCTTAAAATGGCTTACTGGAACTCTAAAATGTCTGACTGGAAATCTAAAATGGCTGACTGGAACTCTAAAATGTCTGACAGGAAATCTAAAATGTCTGAAAGGATTTTCGGAATCTAAAATGTCTGAAGGGATTACTTGGCCAAGATATTTGTCAACAAGTCAGTCACTGCCCTGTCCTATATACATGTTATTGATGATGATGAGTGAAACCTGATCTGATAACTAATTAATATCAATATAAGATCTATTATAATATAATATTATACTGTCACTGTCTATACACAACATCTTTCTATCAATCATACAACAATTACCATAAACTATCAAACTGTTTACATTGTCAGGTCAGAGATATGAATTGGAGTTTATTTACCAGATATGACTACAGACGCAACGCCTTGCCCCCATAGAAATATTGTTTGTACCCCAATTGCTCCCTTTCATTTTTAAAAAAAATAAATAAAAATATGATGCTTATACATTTTGTTCACAAAATATGTATCAGCATGAATCAAATCAATCCTATTTTTCAAAAATTTTCTTGGGGAAGAACCCCTTTCACGAGAGGCTTCTGCCATTGAATCTTCCACAGAGCTGTCGTAATTTGAATCCTGACCTCAACAGTTGTCCCCCATACAGTCAGTCTGTCCCCTATTTGTCCCTTCAGCCTTGAGAGACTGGTGCTGCCACTGCATCACTAAAAAAGAACCTTACCCAACATCGTAAAATTTATATCTTCTATTTAAAGACCAAAGTTATCTAAAGATAATATTTTGCTAATTTTGTGGTAATACAGAATGTCAATTGCAAGTTTATCAAAATTGCCACCAAACACCAAAAAGCACTAAGCTGTCGATAACAAATGGTTCCTTCTGCCCTATCAATCCTACCTCCTTTTAAGGAGCAAGGTTACTCAATTATAATTTTATGATGATATGGTAGATTAGATAAGATAAGTTTATTGTTTCAAATACGCCCATTAAAGGCATCATACAACATTATATTAATAATGCACAAAGAAAAAAATATGTCCACTACAAGATTGTCAAATCTACATTCAAATACCAATAAGCTCTACCATGCCTATAACAAACTGTCCTTTCCTCCCCCCTCACCCCTCCAAAAAACAGTAAATCTTCTATTAAAAGATCAAGGTTACCAGATGATGATTTATGATAATTTTATGATAATACAGAATGTCAACTGTCATGTGTATAATATTTATCATCCATGTTGAATTAATTCAGATTATTCTACCAGATTGACCAGCTAATGGCTTGTAAACTGTCTTACAGTCAAACATAAACAAAAATACAGTCAAAATACTAAATATAAACAACAACCTGGTGTATATGAAACAGCTGAAATTGGATGGGGGGGAGGGGGCATTTATATGTATGAAAAAACAAAATAACACATTTTTCTCAGCTACCAAACTAAGAGTGCCAAATCAACGTAATGATCTAGATCCATCTGCTACGACCACCAACAACTACCTAGTCTGCCATATAAGATTCGGTCATAAGCAAATATAATACCTATAATACCTTTGTGCACCAAAATATTAGAATGTACTAAAGCAACCCTCTCAGATGGTCCATAAAGGCTTTCAATTATGACACCTCCAAAGAGTTGCCACATTCAACAGTGTTGTCCCCTACTGAGTCAGTCACTCTGCCCCTGTTTGTACCCCCAGTCTGGAGAGGCTGGTATCGCAGCTATTTTTGACCACTGAAATATATATTTGGGGTCCTGCGTCTTGTTTTTATCAGGGCCACTAAACCCCACTACTTTCTAATCAAAGTGAACTATTATCAACGTCAAAATAAACGTTTTGACTATTATATCCTCCCTATTGATATATATATATATATATATTGCTAGATGTATACTATACTGTAACCCTACACTGTATTTGGTATAAAAACCATCCACCCCCAACAGAGGTAATATCGTAGCCTTAAGGGCCAGAAACTGGAGAAGAGCAACAATATATTTGAATGAATGTTTTTTTTGGGGAGGAAATATGTAAGCAATAACATCTGTTAAAGAATAAACAAATTTTTCATTCAAAAATCAATTAGTTGTGTATATTTCAAGTCCAAGTTTTGATATTTATTATAAATCATGGTGCTCTTTAAGAGTTACTATGAAACACAGTGTATGCTGTCCCTCTTCAAACACCTAATGCCACTACTAGAGAAAGTCAAAAATAATGTTTATTTATTAAGCTTTGTCAACCAAGCATCCTTTTTAGAGAGTTCACATGGTATATTATGTTTATTTGGTATTTAGTTTTGTCAACTCTGCATCCTTTTCAAAGAGTCCACATGGCATATTATGTTTATTTGGTATTTAGGTTTGTCAACTTAAGCATATTCGACAAAAACATGATTTTTATCCTGTAGTCAAAGATTTTGTTAAATTTAAGATAAGATAAAATTTAACGCAAACTAAATCTAGACGTTATATACCTAAAGTTAATCGTAAAATTGGACGGTAAAATCATACAAGTGGAAAATTGAAACGACCTATAAAAACTAAGTCATTCGTAAAACTATGTGGGATTACTATCTTAGCCCTTTTTTATACCCTACATGCGGTGGTGGGCCTCAAGTTTTTATTGAAATTTAAAAGATAATGTTACTTATCTGATGAATAAAAACGATCTCTTGATTTTTTAGGATCTGGGATTAAAAATATCAAGTTAAATGCTCTGTCAGCAGCTTTTGATTACATAGTGTTTTTAATATATCTTTAAATATAAATTTTAAATATAAAAACTTAACATAAATTTCTTTTGGAAATCAAATAGCATGTAGTTAAGGTTATTTTATATCAATATTTATCAAACAAGATTAATGATAATATTTGAAAAGCCTGATGGCAAGATGACAAACACTACTCAGTAGATATGGTTAAATAAATCTTGATTTTAAACAGCTTTTCCCAGGCTTTTTTTTTTTATCAAAATTCTAAGTGATATAGTCTTATCATTAGAAATATTGAAACTGAAACTGAAACTGAAACATGTTGTTTCTCAAAGATGCGATCTTCAGACAACTGACCTATTTTCAGCTTGTGTCCCTACTGAAGTTGGATAAATTAAATTTCAGCAAGTCACTCTCAAAGTCTTATCCTTAACCATTTACTTAACCAGCTGGTAGAGCTGAATTTCAGCATCCTTTCACTCTTTTCAGACAATCTGGCATTTGATTTGTGTACAATTGAATAAGGTAACCTGCTGTGACCGAGGTATGTAATGACAGTTTATAAATTACCTAATAAGATGGAATTAAAAACCAATACATGTACTCACCAAATTCTGCAGCTCTTTCTCAGATGTAAAATCCTTGTAATTGTCAGATCCAGTGACTTTTGGTATTCCAGGAACCGACAGTGTCTTCAGATCTGATTTTGGTGCTTGTGGATCCTCTATACTTAACAATCCAGCCTCATCTTTAAAAGAGACACGACGATCTGGTCTAGGTTTATAGTCAAAATTTGGACTGCTATAACTTGATAGGCTTACAAGAGGTAGTGATGTCCGAATGTTAGATCTTAGCTCCTTTCTCTCGATTGATGGATGTGACTCAACTTTGTTTGAAATCGGAAGTGTCCTGCGAGAAGAGTTGTTCCGATTAAAACACGATTCAAAATCACTTTCGGAAATTTTATCCTGATTTTTTGAATCTGCAAATAATGAATAGCTTTGAAATGAATTGAGTGTTGAACTTTGAAAAGGTCGAACAACAGCTGAAGGTCTTTTAATTATAACTTGATCTGATTTTTGATTCATAGATTTCACATCCAAACTTGTTTTTCGTCTCGAGGTCAGATCCAAGGTCGAAGATCGTGACACTTTAGGATCTGTTTTTATTGGCTCTGATTTCATAACGTATGGATCTGATATTTTGGTTACATTTTTTTGGCTGTTTTCCAAGCGTGAAACTGTAGTTTTATTATTAGACAAGGAGGTATTGTTGGAGCTCGTGTAATTTGACTCTCTATTTATGTTAGAGGTGTCGTGATCCATTTCGTGTGTTTTTAACACGTCTGAGAGCCTAGTTACTGTAGTATCAGAATGTCGTGAACCTAGGCGACTTGAGGTAATCAATCTCGTTGATCTTGATGATGTCATATCAGATTTCAATCCCATTGGTTGATCACTATGGGTAGTCCAATTGGAGGCATTTTTAGAGTTACCTAACTTTGACGTGGAGGTGCCTAATGCACCACTAGTTCTGCTTCTAGACACTGTATTGTCAGAATCACGAGGCTTTGATAAAACAGCAGATGGCCTGGGAAAAACCTTATCCCGCTTTGCATCTCTAATGCTTGGAATATCTGGTCTCCTTTCCATATCCTTCGTTAGCTTGTCACCATTTTTTAGTTCCTTTGTATCCACATAAGATCTTACATGACCTTGCTTTTGTTGTCCAGTCCTCTCTAGAATGCCTTCACGACTAATTCTCTGTGTTCCATCGTGTCTTGTCGTTGTTTTAAAATTCTGAAGTTCTCGAATAGCTGCTCTGATTTTTCTGCGCTCTTGGTATTCTGTGCATGTTTCAAGCTGAAAAATACAAAAAGAAAATTTCAAGCAAAATTAACTGGAATTGACTTTAGTTTGTCTTAAGAGTGGCAACATGGCTGTTCTATCATATTTGGTGGTAAAGTACCGGAATTGAACCTCTGAACACAGGTTTTACCTTTGAGGGAAAATATGATTTATATTTGGGAACAGTTTGTGTCGTTTAGGGTTTTCAGGTTTGAGAAACATGATTTACATATGGGGGACAGGTTTTATATTTGATAGAAAAGTTTTACCATTACAGAATGGAATACAAAGGTTATCAAACTCTCTTGTTTTAGATGGTGAGAAAGGAACAAATTGTATGGTATCTTTCACTTGTTATATAAGGTAAAACCTGTACAGTATCCGGTGAAGAGTTATGTCCCATCTAACAAAGATTAAAAGGTCAAGCTTCTTAAGAACAAAATCCTCAGTTAATTGTCCCATAGAAACAACAAAACATTTTTTCCATACCAACCCCTCCTACCTGCATCACTGACAGGAGAAAACTTGGATAAAAAAAAAAGATCCTAATGTATTATTTCAGCCTATGAAAACTGCTGTTGGCCTGTAGTCAGACTTGATTGTTTGGAGGGGCAAGTAATATATCCAGAAGGAGAAGTAATATATCTGGATGGGAACTGGTGGATGTTGTTCAGTTGAAATATTGGAATTGGTCAGTTGCCATATTTTTTTCAGGGAGCAATCCATTTGTTCTTACTTGCCCCCCTGTAGCTACTGGCCTGAACCGCCGTTTTTTTGTTTTTATTTATCTTGTAAACAATCTGACCCAAGGTACTAATATTGACCATAAAGAGATTAGTGAAGAGTTGATAAGGGGAGATCAATCATGTCTAAATATTGATAAATCACTTGAAATGACAAATTGTTTATATATTAGTCTTGGTTTAATATTATTAGTCAATAAACATTGCTCATAAAAATAACAAACTTACATCTGCTAGCCTAGAGTGCGGGGAGCCAACATTCAAGGGGGCTCAACTTTGGGACTCAAAAGTCATTCAAGTCATCCAAAATTTTCCGGTGGACCAAATATTTCTTATGGGGACTTCTATATAGAACTCAAATTTATTTTATTAATCAGATTTTATAAGGTACTGAACAGTAGGGTTTAAAACTCTATTTATTAATACTAATCAAAGTTGACTAAAAGTTATGAGATAATACGCCAGAGTTACAGGTGGTCGCGAGATAAGATTGTAGGTTTGACCTGTTGGAGTCAATATACTCTACCGAATTACCATATCTAAAAACCACTGGCTCCAAAATTATACTGGATAGAGTGAGGATTAGATGAATTAAATTTTATAAAAACAATTGGTTTCTTACAATATTTATTTATTCTGGAATGACCGAAAGATTAGATTTCCGTTCCGTGATTAAGGCTTGTTATTTTTCGGCACCTGGGTTAATGAAGTCAGGCAATGCCATGCAGTGTTCAATGAAGGAACATTTGCCAGGACGGACAGTGACAAGCCTACTCTTGTTCGATTACTAACTGTCGAGGATCTTTAACATGCACAGCCTGTAGCATGAGGGACCTTGGTTTAATGTCGCATCCGAATGACTAGAAGCTTCTTTACATGTCAGTTCTCCTTACCTTCATCACTAACAAGGGGAAAACAGGTTAAATTCACAGGTATAATCCTGACCTTTACCTGCCTCAAACCCTGGACCTTAGGTTAGCAAGAAACAATTTAAATCACTGAGCAACTCAGTGAAATGTTGTGAGTAGCAATAACTGATTAATTGATTAATATGAGAAGTTTTCAGTTTGTCTCTCATTTGTTTAATAGAGATATTCTTTTCACAAGAGAAAAAAAAAAATCTTGTTTAAAATCTTGTTTAAAACCTGTTTAGAGTATAACAATGGCTACAATGATGGGAAAATAATGTTATTTTATTTCACGTGTCGTAAAGCATGTTTATAATCATTTATTCCTTTGTTACATCTTTATTTCCAAGGGCCTTTCTCTCTAAAACTTAACCTAAATAAAATCCAGATTTTAAGAAATAGAGCAGGGTCTCCCCAGAAAAGAGGATGTCAAGGCTTTGGTCCCCCTACTTTAAAATTTTTTGATCATTTTACATAGTGAAAGAAATAGCCTGTAGCCCCCCTGGAAAATTTTGTGGCCTCGGCTACCCTCTCTTGACTGGTGATCAGTCAGCATCACATTCACTTTTCTATGAATATTTAGATTCAGGGGCCAAGTAGGAGTTGAATAGGGGCCCTAGAATTTTCCAGTGGTCTCAAAGGCAATTATTTTACTATGTATAATTGAGTGGCCAAACACCTTGTAAACTAAGTATTGACTTAGAATGATATAAGATCTTGATACAACTTGATGAAATTATACATTTCCCTTCTTCAACACACACCATTCATTATTCACATACTAAATTTAAACTTTTAAAATGTTCACAACAAATTTGAAGGATTTCATTTCACTACACACTAATTCATGACCTTCAAATTTGACCTTGAGAAAAAATTTTCTTACAAAATTCAAATGGTGTTCTTCATCTTTCTTTTTTGCAGCCGACTAGGCTAATGAAGATGGAGAAATCAGTGACACATAAATACATAAATTCATTTTGATATTGATGCATTTTAAAGTACTGGCTATAGCCAATCATCAAGGGTAACGATACGATAAGTATATCGCGGTATGGGGTAATGGGATAAAATTATCTTCAAAGTTTCAATATCTATTAATTTATAACTGTTATATGTGGTTGATAGAATCGCTTAATGTCTACTGATTTATAAATACCTTCAATTTCAGTCAAGTCAGTTAGAAAAAAATTTGTTGGTTTATAAAAAATCCTCACATTTAATCAAAGGTAATATCAAGTATCAATAAACGATAAACATGACGGGATGTCATATCACGATACAGAGTTTCACCAATATATCGTGCCTGCACTAACTGATATTGATGTCTTTTGTCATTGATGATATTGATGCATTTCAAATGTGATAAAACCTCAGATATCATGTAATGTTTGAATTAAAAAAAACTTACTCCACCATTATATTTTTGATACATACAAAAATTGAGTTTAAACTTGACTTGCATTCTAGTCAGAAAGGTTATTGACCTTGGTTTTTGACCTTCTTTAAAGAAACTTTTCATAATCTTCAAGGAGGAAACTGGGTCATTTTCAAAAAATATTCACATCCTTGAAACTTTTAAAAGTTTGATATTTTACTTTTTGTAAATAAAAGGATCATTATTTGTGAGCAAATTAAATAACAGGTGTGAATCAAGGCTATACAGATAGTGATTATTTAGATTTCAAAACTTTCACAAAACCTTTTGCCTTCTTCAAGTTTGATTTAGAGTTACTTGTTTAAAGGGGGAGTGTGACAGTTTCCTACAAAACACATGAATTATGACTGTCTCTTAATGGCCAATAATATATTCTATTTTATGTATGTTGTTATGTCAATTTTAGTTAATCTGTTAATGTCCATAGAGGGAGCACTCCCTGTTTTCATTTCTTAATTTGGTGATCACGTTTTCAGAAATGGAATCATTAGCTTTATTTCTAACTGGTCCGATTGATCACATGATTAGTCACATGAGTTCATTCGTTCCAGAGAAGGAGCACAGCAAATCACACATGTTTTCTGATGCTTTGGTTTCATCAATTGTTTATTTTGGTTTCGTGTTGTTGTTTGTTAAATGACATTATCCTCCAATTTGTATTAGTATTATTTGGGGAGCAAGAGGGGATAAAAATACCATTGACTACAAACTTGGTTTTCCCATTTCACCCTTTCCTATTCCATTGATCTTTCTCAGATTATCCATACTCATTTACAAAAGTTTCCGGCCTGCGTTCGAATCATTTATGGCTTAATCTTTAAAATTTAACTGTTGTTTTTCCTTCTTCCTTCCATATAAGTGATATTTGATAATGATTAAATCTTCAATATTGGTTAACTTCTCATTATTCAACTTGGTTCAATGTCAAAATATTTTTTTTTTTTACACCAAAATTCAAACATGAAAATTGACCCTTATTGTCACATTTTGATTTTTTCTTTGCCTTTTATTATATCTAAAGGTGAACCATATTAAGGATATTTCTATAGAAGAATTGTGTTTGAGTTGACTGGTGTAATGAACTGTCAAATTAGGTCCGACTTGTAATTGATATATTGGAATGCACTATAAGTTATTTATTGAACAATATATAATACAGATAATATGATTGTCAAACATGGGACCTCGTGTATTAAACATTTATAAAACACCAAGAGGTCTGACTAATATAATCATTGTTACTGTGTGATCTTATTTAACCATCTAAAATAGATTTAAATCTTGACTATTTATAATTACTGGCTGATTAAAATGCAGATCTGTCATGTTTCATTTTATTTTCTTGGTTGATTTCTTATGCCATCCATTTTTTGAAAAATATTCTATTTTAGGTGCAAGAACAGCATCATTTTCCAATGTTTCAACAGTCAAGATATCTACCTGTAGCCCACAGGGCCTAGATTTATAGGCTCATCCCAACAACTAAACACTTTTTCTATGTCATTCCCTGTGTGCTACAGGCTGTGCACATTAAAGATCCCTTGACAGTTGGAAAGAACAGGCTAATGCTGCTGTCCTGGCAAAATTTCCCTCATTGCACCCTGCATAGCGTTGCCCTTCTTCATTAGCCCACATGGTGCAGTAAAGTAGGACGTAAAACTCCATTCATTTCATTTCATTTTCTATGTTATTCCTTACCTGCAAGAATGCCATTTTTGTAAGCCCACATGAATTGTGGAGGATATATTGGCATCCCCTATGTCTTTCCCTCTGACCATCCGTCGGTACTTCCACAATTGCTCGAAAACATTTCAGAAGGCTCAGTACTGGACAGATTTTGAGGAAACTTTGTAAGAGTGTTCGTAATCACCCAATGATGACTGTTTACTGTACTGCCAAATATTTTTATTTAAAATCAAAGCTGCCAGTGGGCCTATATTACCTTGCTTAGCAAGCTATCTTTCACCTTATATTTGCTGTGGTGGTATTTAAATGGGATACATGTATTTGTTATTAGCAATAGCAGTGATAATCTGTAGATCATACAGACCTATAAATAAAACATTGTTACACAATATATTTCAAGGTATGACCAAGCTATCTATATAATATGTCTTAAATCACTCTGGTGGACAGATCAAACCACTGGAGTCAAAAAGTCAAGTTATTAATAATGTTAATCTGGATTAGAAGTATTATTTATTTTGTTACACATGTATTTATATGCCATGTCAGACTGATAACCATGATAAACCTCTTTGTTTTACTAGGGTCATTATAGGGTCCAAAGTGAGATGGTCCTGTCCTACATACAGAGTTTGGGAACATTTGATATTACATGGATCAAATTTAGCTCCATTGAACATGAATGAAATGAAAAGGAGTGTAATATCAAATTTTCTGCTCCTCATAGGGCTAATGAAAACTGACAACACTATGCATTGAAAACATGTTTTCTTTTGTAGTAATAGGCAATACTCAGTTGTACTGTTTTTTATATTAATATAATGACTAGAAATGAAGTGTATGTATATATATCTATGTATAATTCAAGAGGTAAAGTGAGAAATGGTGTAAAATTGACCACGAATAAACATTGTCAGTATTAATTGAATCAAAACAAATTGTTATCAAGTCTTCCAAGTGGTCATTTCACTAACGTCAAGATTTAGCGACCTTTGACATTTAATTGACCAAAGAAGGTAAAGCACAATATGGAATAAAGAATAAACTGTAGTTAACAACAATGGCATCAGCCTCCCTACTCTCTTGCCACATTGAGTTCAAAATTTAATTTTTTTTCTCTCATGTCACAAATATTCAAAATATGATTTTCAAGTGTATACCAATGGTCTTAGAAAGAGTTTGGGTCCATGAATATATAATTTTGAAAATTTTGCTTTTGAAATGAACACGCTTCTCTCCAAGAAATTTCATGTGAAAATGACATATTTTGAACTGAAAATCTCCCTCTGAAAAATCATAGTTTCAAATAATTTTGTTTTCAATGGTTGGAATTTTCATCAACCCAAAGACAATCTAAGACTCTCAGCAATATTTGGAGATTAATATTTCAATTCATACAAAAATGATAGCCAAAATGTGATTTAGAACTTGTTGTGGCCAGAGAGTTGACTGAGAGAACAAATAGGGGGTAGATTGAATAAATGGGGGCACAACTGTTGAGGCTGAAATTAAAACTGTGGAAGCTGAGCTGTGGAATTGCATAGGCACAAGCCATAGGCGTAGGAGGCGGGGGGAACCCTTGAACAAGTCAACCCTTTACAATTTTCGGGCAAACCAGTCTGTGTGTGCAACCAAAACGTCACAGAGTCACGTGATACTAACAAAATGAAAGTTACGTAAAGGTAGAGGTAATTTAATATTATATTAGAAATAACGCATCTCTGGAAGAAGGGAAAATCCCTATTTAAATGGCCCTTTTTCTTCTGACTCTACTCTAGCTGACAACTGTCAGTATATCCATCAGAGGAATGAAATAGAGCAGATGTTTCGGACTAACATTCTAATTGCAGTAGCTCCATCCTCTGAGAATGACAGGGTTCTCCTTCAGGAATTGATTCAGTGCATTTTGGCATTAAGTCAAATTTGTAAGAAATGAAGTTGGGGTACAACCCATATTCCTAGGGGGGCAAAACATTGGCCTGTCATAGTGTGGACATGTGTACGATAAACAAGTGCTCGGGCAGTATAGCCCTGCATAATATACAAGGAACAATCGACAGTTGCAAAAAACTGAAGGTGCAACAAAAACGACTTGACGTGCCCTCAAAATGCCTATCAATAAGTATAAAATTGGATGACAACTTACTAATCTACGTAAAGTAGCCTCATCCTGAGTCTTATAATCCGCCATTGTAATAATTAGTGTTACATTGTTGTCAATCTGCTAATTATATCCTTGTGTCATTTCCACAGGTAAATAATTGTCACACCTGTTCGGGTTGTGTCAGGTAGATTGGGACAGTAGATTTTATTTATCAAGGGGTGACAAGCACTGACTATATTTAAACAATCTTTTTTCTATTTACAATTAGGTATTAAATTTGTATTGACCTTTCTAATACGAGGTAAAAAGGCAATAGTTTACAATAGACATAGCTTGTATCGGCCCTCTCGCCATTGTTATCCGACTATTTGTTTATTGTATCCTAGCAACATACCTACAATACCTATACACATTAGACTGGTCTGAGGCCAGGAAAGGCTGATCTGGATAGGCCTATTAGTTGGGATAAGGAATAAAAGCACTGGTCACGGAAGTAGAATCATCATACCATAACATATATTTCCTAAATATAAACAATATTAGTTGTCTGAACTCTTCAAAAGAGATGCCATGGAGACAAAACAAGACCACATTCAAATAACCATTGTTAGCTTTGTGAACTCTTTAAAAGGATGCATAGTTGGCAAATCCCGTTGCAGAATGGAATTTTGGACGGATGGGACATGCCGCCCCGTCTCGCGAGTGACAACCTATACTCCAAGAGGATCAGCCACGAGAACTTAAGGCTACAAGAGCTTCTTCTGGTGTTCTAAAGGCCGCAAATGCGATTCCGTCTCGTGCCATTACATGTATAACTTATAAAATAGGTCATCTGTAAAGTTTCAGTGCCGAGCGAAAAGCGCGGGAAAGTTGACCTTGAAGGTTCAATCCTCGAGACGTCAGATGACGATTCAACAAAAACACAATGTCTGCCGAGGCTTGTACATTTCCGAAGCCACCAAGGCCATCATTAGGCTACCTGGCTTGCTTGCAGTAATAGTGTTGGTCAGTTTTCAGATTTCTTTCGAGAATCGGGGGAAGGGGGTTCGTAATTAGTACTTCATCCTTCATCAACATTTAGAAGTAAATAAGAGATACTGGCAAAGAAAATGTATTTTTCTGATATTTTTCATACTCACTGCGCCAGATGTACATTCTGCAAAAGAGTAAAATGCTCCATGTTCAAACATTTAATTTTAATGAATTATTCAAAATTTCATCATATTTCATATACCAGAGAGTGAAGGAATAGTGTGCAAGTTTCAAAAATTTTTTTTTTCCTTTTTTCTTTCTTTACATAATACAGGGACTTCTGAAGAATGGGGTTCAAATTTCAATTCAATAGGCGAACTGTTCAGAGCATTTCTAATAAATAGAGGCTAAATTTCACATAAGTACATCAACTTTGAAACTTTTATGACAATTTCTTTTGACTATTGTCAAGCACTTAAATTCAGAATGTTATTTTTTTTCTGTACTAACTGGACATGGAACATTTTAAACTTCAGGAGTTAAATTTCAGGATGGACAATTTTCCAAATAAGGTACTGAAAAATCAAAATTTTTCACTGAAAAAAAGAACCAATATAAATCAGCACTAAATGATCACCCTACCATTTGCTTGATTTTATGCTGAAAATATATGCTCATAGAACAGGTACTCAAACTGCAGAAATACATGACACACTGAACAGCCAATCAAAAACCACCATTCTTGCACCACATGGAATGTCCCGATTCCAGAAAATATATACATGTACAACACGCGAATGAGAGTTCATCGCCCAAGCACCAAACACTTAGAGACAAAAATTGTCCCACATTTCCACCAGATGATTGGACGGATTTATCATGTGACTTCTTTCTCACTCCAGCCTGTTCCTTCGCGTTCCAATACCATCATGCATTAGGACAATTTAAATGGCTGAAGCCCAACTATTATTTCAAAATGTACAAATTATTGTCATCTTTGAAATTATGCAAATTAGGATGATAAAAAGATGTACAATAATTTTTCATTGGAAATTTGAAATTATTTGGTATGTACAGTTAAGTTTAGTTTGAAAGAAAACTTAGCGTATGTACACAGTTTTGGGTTAAAAGGATGAGATCAATTAACCTTTAATGATGTACAAGGTTCATAATAAAAAGAGGGGAAGCCCCTTTAATTTATCAAAAAAATTGAAATGAAAAAGAAAATAAATGAGAAATCTTTACTCTTATTGGAAATTTGACAAAAAATTACGTTTACAAAATTGTTGGACTGATATAGCATGGTTACTAGGGAGATATTTAGTAACTAAGTGACTAAGGCTGATCCGTGCATGTAGTAGTCTGCAAGAAAACAAAAAAAATATTTTCACATAAACACATTAAAAAGAAGTACGTTACATTTTGAAGAGCTAAGAAAATTTTTGAAATAAAAAGCACTTTTACAATGAAAATATTTACATTTGGATGTGAAAAAAATTACGAAATGAGCTGCAACAATTCAAATGAGACTTTGTCATGTTAAAAATTAAAATGGAACAAAGAAAAGTTGCAAACAAAAGAGTACTTCTCTGTTTTTGTCTAAAAAGAAACACTTGTTCCTTTCAGAGTCACCCATATTCCCATATCAATGGGTATCCTTTGTTCTATCTTGTACAAATCACAAGGCATATTTTACCAAATATAAACGTTATCTATATCCCCGTTAAAATTGCAAATATTTGAGACAATAATTTGAAAATCTAATCATAAGCTTTCAAAAGCCTAATCTACATAATTTCTTGCATTTTACAAGTTTAATCTAATATAATTTGGATGCTGTTTGACCAATTAGTTTACATTTAGCAGATACTGATAAGATTAATAAAATATATTAGCTATAGATAGATATGAACACAAATGTCTTTACACTACACAAAATGTTAAAGCCTCAGCTTTTTCACCAGTTTATGTCTATTAAGTACTTTAGAAAATTTATGTAAATAAAAAGTTTAAACACACTCTGAGTTATTTAAAATGAATTCAGCTAGAGAACTAGATACATTTGCAATGTCAATATTGAAACGAGGCCAACCAGCATCCAAATATGGAATTCTCGCATGATTTAGCGCATAATTAACCATGATAATGAAATGATATTTGAATGAATGAATTATAAGTGAAACACTGGTACGATTTCGGTCATGTACCCTCCCCACCCCTCCATTAACGCGTCTTAACAATTTAACTGTATGGATGGTAATTGGAGCCTCCACCTCTTTTATTGGTTCCACTCTTTCCATAGTTGCTTTGTTGTTGGCCTTGCTCTTGTCCGTATCCCCAGCCGGAATAATCATATCCACCATATCCACCGTATCCTTGGTTATAATCATATCCACCCCAACCTCCATAGTAACCTTGGTTATAGTCGTATCCACCTCCGTAACCACCATAAGGTCCATAATTATAGTTGCCATAGTAATTTCCATAGCCACCATTCCCATATCCACCGTTACCCCATCCTTGATTCCAGCCGCCACGTCCACGACCACCACGATTTGAACCTCGGCCCCCAGGGCCCTGAGTTGGCAGAGCTTTCTTAATGTCTGCCTCCTGGCCATTTAAAACATGCTTCTCCTTGGCCAAGACTTTCTTAACAGCTTCTTCAGAATCAAACTCTACAAAAACAAAAGCTCGTCTTTGGTCTTTTATTTTGTCAAAAGGGAGATCTACTTTTTCAACCTTTCCGAATTGTTTGAAATATTCTTTAATGTCTTCCTCTCCGCAAGCTGGATCAACGCGACCTACAAAAATCTTCCTTGACCCAGTTCTAGGATTGGCACGTTTAGGCTCGATTTTATGTCCATGCAATTTGAGTTCTTCCTCGGTCTCCAAGACTGCATTGATAACATCTTTACGATTAAACACAACAAAAGCAAAACCCCTTGATCGTCTGGTTTCCAAATCTGTTTTAAGAGTGCAGCTAACAACTTCACCAAACTTCCCGAAAAATTCCTTCAAATCTTTAACTGTTGTTTCCCAACTTAAACCCCCTACAAAAAGTTTCCTGTCATCCTCGTTTGTGCCATCATCGCCAATAGCTACTGCATCCTCTCCGCCTTCAGTAATCTCTGTTAATTCCGAAGGTTGTTCAGCGCCCGTGTCGCCATTTTCGTTTCCTTCTTCGTACTGTTGCTGGTAATCTTGATTTTCTTGTTCGTCTGCCATGGTTTTGCTTGTGGTTTTAAGATTCTTGGATCGTCAAAGAACAAAACTGCAAAATATAAAAATTGTTATACGACTTTGTTCAAAATGCCGGTAAAATACACGTGCAGCTTCTGAATTTTCACCACAAATCACAAATCCACCATTAGCAAAACTTTGTTTATCCAGTCTCAAATATTCCGCTCGATTTAATAGAAAAATCTGATCTGTCCTGATAATCGAGACATTATGAAAACTTCAAAATGCCGGACACAAAAGACCCGGATGAGAAATTAAACAAAGGAATTTCAATAGCGAAAGAGACTGGACAATGTTTATCAAGATTATCAAGAGTTATCCTTTAATTGACTCCTGTTTGTAACAACATTGGTGATTGGATGATTAATTTATAGCCCACCAATCAATGATTAGTACACATTATGGTTATTACGTCTGAGCCATGAAATAATTCTCAACAACATTTTTTACAGATCTTCTAAAA